ATACCAGTATTTTTGTTTTACTTTTATTTAGTTTCATGCAATACTGCTGGGTCAATAACGTTTCCATTTTATTTAAAGCTACCTCTAACTCCTCTAACCTCCTCTTTGCTAGATGGTATCATGCTATATCATCTGCAAATCTAAGCATGCTAATCTTTTGCCCCTGTATATCTATCCCTACAGTTGTACTGTCTTTAATGATGTTGATGGCGTCTTCGATGTATATTTTAAAATGTAGCAGCGACAACCGAGCGGCATGGCCTGGAGGTTTAGACCATTGGTTAGCATTCGGGAAGACGCCGGTTCGATTCCGGGTCCGTCTGCCTTGGTCCAAGTTTTTCTGTGGTTATCTTGGATCACTTAGGCAAATGCTGGGGCAGTAATATTCCACAGATAATCTTTCATTCTCTTCTGTCTTCGTTTCGTCCGACTCATCTTTCTCACTCGAACCACCACCCACCGATTCCTGAAAGGAGTCTGGAGAGCGCCTTCCGCTCTACTTTCCGGCTTAATCCTGAGAGCATTAGTGGCTGGTGGGAATGAAAAACGCAAAAGTTTTAATTTTTGTACTAATCCCATATAGGTAAATTTGTCCCTCATTCAAGTAACAAGTTATGTCACCACGCGGTTCATGCTTACGTCGCGGATTCCAATAAAATCCAGAATATTTACAATATAATATAAATTACAAACTCAGAGATTTGTAAACATCCTTACGCATTGGCGGTCTACCTCTATTCTTCTCAACACCTGTTTCTGTTTCTAATATGTCTCTAACTAGAAGGTGTCCTACCAACTTCTTATTGACCTCCATAGTGACCTCTGTTCTCCTATCCTTTCTAAAATCCAATGGGCATTCCGTTTGGCCACAGCCTATGTATGATCGAATATTTACATCTAAACACAGTCAACATGTCAAAATTTACAAAATTAAAAATTCTGATTAAACCGCAACATCCTGTATTTACGCGCTTGTTAGTTCCATTCTTCACTTAGACGTTTTAATAATCACCTAATTCTAATTATAAAGTTAATAACGAACCTCAAACCATATTATAGATAAGAGTTGCAGCAATATATAGGGTTGTTCGGAAAGTCATTTCGTTTTTTTTTGTGGAAATCAAAGACAGTTTTCGTATAATAAACAAATACATTAATAAATCATATATTGACCGTTCTGGTCCAACACCTTTTGCCATCTTTCTGGTAGTAGCATAATTCCACGCTCATAAAATATTTGGTCTTTGCTGGCAAAAAACTGATCCAGGTCTGGAGAATATGGTGGGTGTAGCATTGTATCCCATTCAAGCTGTAAAAGCTTTTGGCGAGTGACCAAACTTGTGTGAGGTCTCGCGTTGTCTTGGTGAAACACTACACCTTTCCTGTTGATTAGTTCTGACCTTTTCTGTTGAAGTGCATCATTCAGTTTGTCCAGCTGATGACAGTAGACTTCCGAATTAATCGTTGTGTTATCCGGTAAAAGCTCAAAAAAAACGATTCCTTTAAAATCCCACCAAACAGACAGCATCACCTTTTTTTGGTGAATATCGGCTTTGGAAATGGTTTGAGCCGGTTCATCTTTTTTGCTCCATGACCTCTTGCGTTTGACGTTGTTGTATACAACCCATTTTTCGTCCCCAGTGATGATGCGCTTCAAAAACGGATCATTTTCGTGACGTTTGAGAAGCGAATCGCAGACGTCAATGCGGCGACACAGATTTCTCTCTGTGAGAACATGGGGAACCCATACATCGAGCTTCGAGGATAATCCCAGGCCTTTCAAGTGGTCATAAACTGTTGAATTTGATAAATTTAACCTCAATCCGATCTCACGTGTTGTTATTCGCCGGTTCACATCAACTAATGCCTTTATCGCGTCTTTATCAGCTTCAACCGGCCTTCCCGAACGTGGTGCATCTTCGACATCAAAATTGCCGGATCGAAATTTAGCGAACCAGTTCTGGCACTGGCGTACTGTCAACACACCTTCTCCATACACATCAGTCAATTTCTTTCTGGCTTGAACAGCATTTTTACCCTTTCTGTAGTAAAACAGTAAGATATGTCGAAAATGCTGCTTATCGCTCTCCATATTTAAAAGGGCACCAACCAAAAACTACTGCGTAGAATTAATTGGAATTTTTCACACACAAGCCTTGCTATATGAGCTCTCAAAGCATATAAAAATTATACGGCTTAAATGTGAAGTTGGGTGCAAAAGAATACAATTAAATCCTCTGTCGGGAAAAAACGAAATGACTTTCCGAACAACCCTATATATGAACACATATAACAACCATAATTCTTTTTCTTACCTCTTCCATATTCTATCTTAAAGCAATTATTTAGATTTCGTGTTTTCTTTTCGTCTAAGAAAATTATTTCGTTAGCGAATGAATGTAAACATTGCGGTCTGACGTATTATCCCAATGACAGGCATACCACCTGGTCGTACGCCAACGGAAGTAGGAAATTGCGAGCGTTGTTCTTAGCAGCTCTCCCTTGGGCGTACAAAAATGCAAATGCCAACGAAACTTCCACCTCAACGGCAAAGATAACTCATACCTATTCTGTTCCGCTCCGGGCGTATTTTTGAATCACGTTAATGCACCCTACATTACCTTCGCGCTTCATCCATCCCCAAGATGGAGGCAATTCGTCAATTACTTAACCGGACGACATTTGAAAATAGTAAAACCCATCCACCGCATATCCTAATAAAATCGGAAATAAACAATCATCCTACTTCTATTATAATTTAATTTGGCATCACGCAAAAATTAGTCGATAGATTTCAGTCTACCCCGAATAGAATTTTAGGAGGGAAACAACCAGGGTCCCAATGAGGTTAACCATTTCTCGTCGTGTAAACCTCATGAACTCATGGTGTTGCCCTACGAGTGGGCATGTACGCAGGTAACGTCTTAGCCCATTTATACATCACTATAAATTTTGGAGAATCAATTAAATATATGAGTAACAGATAGCTATAAACAATTTTGTCTAATATGACTGATTTTTGCCCATTTGAGTGCCAGCGCTTGGTGGGATTGCCTATTTGAGCCTCTGGAGATGATGGGATTGCCCATTTCTTTGTAAGTTTGTACATGTGTTGTTGTTTATATGGTCTTTAAGAAAAACTCACTGGGTATACCTCACTTTAGTATCTCTGATTTCTTTTCTGGGACCCTGACAATGAATCTTTGGGAAATCTTTCCATCAACATGCTCCCCATTTACCACATGAGGTCCACACGTTACTATTCCCGCTACTAACCGAGCGGCATGACCAAGGTTTAGACCATTGTTTAGGATTCGGGAAGACGCCGGTTCGATTCCGGGTCCGTCTGCCTTGGTCCAAGTTTTTCTGTGGTTATCTTGGATCACTTAGGCAAATGCTGGGGCAGTAATATTCCACAGATAATCTTTCATTCTCTTCTGTCTTCGTTTCGTCCGACTCATCTTTCTCACTCGAACCACCACCCACCGATTCCTGAAAGGAGTCTGGAGAGCGCCTTCCGCTCTACTTTCCGGCTTAATCCTGAGAGCATTAGTGGCTGGTGGGAATGAAAAACGCAAAAGTTTTAATTTTTGTACTAATCCCATATAGGTAAATTTGTCCCTCATTCAAGTAACAAGTTATGTCACCACGCGGTTCATGCTTACGTCGCGGATTCCAATAAAATCCAGAATATTTACAATATAATATAAATTACAAACTCAGAGATTTGTAAACATCCTTACGCATTGGCATGTGTTGAGTTATTCTCCTCGTTATAATGTATACATTCACCTCATTATTCTTGGTTGATTCTTTCAAGTGACATTCCAGGCTGTTAATGACCTCCTTGACCTCTCGTTTCTCGTTCTTGTGGTTGTTGGCGGTACGGTGAAGGGTGAATCGGCGCTTCACCCTGTTACTCGTACAATATCCGGACATATTCCTGGTGTTGTTGTTACCCGATTAAATTTTATAATACCTGGTGTTTGTTCTTTAGATCCACTCATCACATTGTACCTAAATCCTTTCGGGTTAGTTCGGGGCGCATTCTAAATGCCACTTTATTGTTAGTAAGCATAATCGCGTGTAAGGGGAAATGGTTAAATGGATTACCTATTTCCTTTCATAATTGCTCGGTTATTAATTATTATGAAAACGAACAAAGTTAGTTGGAATTCACTTCGGAAGAGAAGAATGAACCACTATCAATCTTTCATGTTTTGCATGTTTCCAACGTCTTGAGTCATTCCGTAAAGTGAATCTGCATTGTATCTGGCGTTAAAATGAAAACTTTATAGGTAAATGAGAGTTCACAAAGACCCTTTGACTCTACGTGTCTACTACGTACTAAATCCTTCAGGCTCTAACCATCGACCTCCGGCATTTTAGAGATTCTCTTTAATGACCTACGTGTGAGATTATGAATTTATTATCCCCTGCAGACGCGAACATTTCAATAGTGCTAGATGAAGAATATATCAAAAATCAAACGAGACGATTACGCCTGTTTTTATTTGTATTTGTACAGTAAGCTTCGCACGGGTGCAATGCTGATAGTAAATATACTATAGAATTTCTTTATATACAACAATCACAGCTTCTTTGTCATTAGACAATACAAACCGGCCGGTACCGCCGCAATCGCTATGTCTCTGCATTTTAAGTTTGTAATATCTTCGAAAATATTCATTTGAATTACAAAGTGTAAAGGGCCATATTGATCTATATTAAATGCACAATGTATTTAAAAGTACTTAATTGGATAAGGATTAATGCTGTATTGCTTAAAATCTCTTCGTAAATAAGCCATTATTTCTCGTAAAAAGTAAAAGATAAAAAATGGTGATTGCGGGTTATCCCTAAGGGATAGACATATACCATCACGGACTTTTTGGTAGACCTTTTTAAGGTGTACAATATTATAGTATATTGTTTTGATTTATCTCGTAGGGTTCAGCCAGCGTTTACAATGTAAACGCAAAAAAAATGTTTATTTACGACATTACATTACAAACCTCTAAAATTATCAGTGTTTCTCTACTATATTATGCATGTATTATACATATAAACCTTCCTCATGAATTACTCTATCTATTTAAAAAAACTGCATTAGAATCCGTTGCGTAGTTTTAAAGATCTGAGCATACATAGGGACAGACAGCGGGGGAAATGCGTTGCATGATTTCGTTAAATAGCAACTCGCATGAAACGAACTTACCCTACCGTGCGCAAAGAAGTTTCATTTCAAAAAATTTATATTTCATATCGCATATACCTATAGATACCAGGTCCAAGCGCACATACAATTTTTTTTATAATACATTCAAACGAAACGTATGTACTTCTTCATATATCTACAGAATAATGCACCCGTTGAATTACTTTATCCTTTACCTCGTTTCGTAAATGTACAATATTCATTAAGTTATACAAACGGAAGGACAAATGCGACGCCTGGCGTCTGAATCTTCATTTCACCGTCGTCATCTCCATTATTGTTTCTACACTTCGAAATTCTTAAGAGATGAAGATACACAGACAGACAGACAAACAGACAGACGGTCTAGAACCACTATATCTCTCCGGTATTCGGCATAACTTTTCGGCGGAAGCGTGTATGCAATTTTAGCACGTAGACGAAACGGAAACGATTTCCATAATGCGAATCAGTTTCTGAGGCTTTAGATGAAGGCAAAAGGAGAGCACTTCCCCGACGTATTAAGCCGAGTGACGCGGCTGATGATAGCCCTTCAGAATATAAGGAAGACAGACAATTGATGCAAAACGTTCGCATTTGAATGAAGTGCAATTCATAAAAATTGATCCAAAGAAATGTTCAGCACCTTACTAATTAACGTTGCTAAGAATGGACTAATTGAACCCTTTCATATTTTGCTCCACAGGAAATTTTGTTAATATTATTATTTGTCAATTTGAAAATTCAATTTCAATTTCTTTTCCACACTAAGTTACCTCAAATCATTGAGAAAAATTTTCGTTTCTGCCCTCGCCGGGAATCGAACCCGACGCCATTGGTGGCACCAATGCTCTGACCACGAAGCCACGGTGGTAACAACAGCAACAACGAAGAGGGTGTGATGGCAGCCACAAAAATTTATTTCATTAATTTGAGGTAACTTATAGTGGAAATAAAATTGATTAATTATTAATTTTCAAATCAATATTTAATATTAACCGCTAGGAATTTCAATGTGTTTCAAATATTATTATTATTATTATGATGACTTTCCATGACAATACAGAAGGAAAGGTTAACGAGAGTGTGTATTAATGGGAGATAATCTTAGAAATTAGAAAATTTTAAAATCCAACAAAAAGCCAACAGTCGCGTTTCATAAGCAGGGGCGTTCGGATGCTGTTTAAATATCTAGAGAATGATTTATTTTGCTCATGGGTATATAGACGCGGGGGGCGACTGCTAATATTCTAACAACAGATTTATTATTAGAATGATAATTTTATTTCGGTTGTTTGCATGTCGATCAAACAAAAAACTCAGTGACAGTTGTCTAAAAATAATGCGACCTTTGACAATATTAGAAATACTTGACGTAGTCCTTATATGAACAAATGATAAAACGTACAAAATCTAAACATCAATCATATTACTTATATATTTGTTGAATAAATAAAAAAAAATTACTAGCAATCAAACATTTTTTTTATCGTCAAGTGGGTGGTAAAACAATCGATTATAATTTAGTAGGAAAATACGAGACCATGAATAAAAAATTTTTCGTAGGCTTCCTCGGGTGTTGTTTACAATATAAATAAATAAGAATCAGATCTTTTTCTGGATTTTCATTATATATCTATACATATAACTATAAGCATGACGTGCGTGACGCTTCGTTCCGATTCCAGTAACGTGGACCTAACAAAAGGGAATTATTTACGGCATATTTAAAATCCTTCCAGGAATTCCCCTATTGGCTTCTCATGCCAAACTGTTCCATCACGGAAATAAAGAACCTTGTATCCACCTGTTCTTTTTTTACTTGGAAAAGTTCTAGTTTATGGATTGAAAATGTGAATTTACACCATCACGGCCAACAAGATAACGACTAAAACCATGCCAATCTCATTTTTTTGATGTGCTTTTTATGGGGTAATTGAAAACGTGAAAGCTTCATTGAAGTAGAAATCGTTATTATACAACAAGAAAAAAAAACGATATTTTCTATATAAGTACCTATGTATAGCTATTGTTTAAATTTATTTGAATCCTGTTTTAATAAAATGTTGGTATTTCAACGTCAAACAAAAAAAAGGACGTATGTTTTTCATTTGTTTCGTTTATTTTGTTTGTTTAGCAGGGGTGGTAAAGCGTGTTACGTTTGTTGAACTTTGACGTAAAACGTGATTTTCTACAAAAAAGGAAAAGCACGAAACCAATTTAAATGGGATTCAAATAAGGGATTACACACATATGATTGATCTGATGTGCCTTTATATGTTTTATTCAGGGTATTTTCTCTCTTGTTGCAGTTCTTTTCAAGAGTATACCAGTTGTTCGACTCGTACGGTTGAAAGATCCTGCGGGAACGAGGCGGCGGAATTTAGCAAGTTCTTTATGGAGAGAATGTCTTCGGCGATGATAAAGGTAGGTTATGTTTGCCTAATTTCCTACAATCTAAATCTAAATTAACAAAAACTGCAAACTTAAAAGTCTCGTGATGGTACATGATGACTACAGCGACAACTGGTGACAGAAATGTGTAACAATTGGATAGAAAGTATTTCCACCCGACTGCGAGATGGTTATAAACTAGGTTTTGCTTTTATAGAACCATAATGGCGGCCGTAAAGTAGAAAATGGCGGCAAAGACGAAAAAAAATTGCTTAGGTACCATACTGAGTGGCATATCACTGAATAGGTTTATAAAAATCAAGTAGATGTTTCCTTTCAGAATTACACAGCTGGAAAATTGTGAAATCAGGATCTTTAAATTTTTTCTTAGGTAGGAAATGAACCTACAGGACTTATAAAAACAGTATTCATAAACATAAACTCTCAATACATTGATAAAGCACAACTAAAAAGTCGTCAATAAGAATTTAAATTAAAAAGCCCAACTGCGTCAATCTACGATCTTTGACAGTAGAATTACCTCTATCTTGAGAATAATAAAATAATACGAGTGGTCAAATGTAATTGTTGATTTCATAGAAAGAAAATGAAGAACAACCCTCCTTGTTGAACCGTGCAAATTATAAATGATAATTGTGTACACACAAACAGAATTATAAAGTTTGGGGAAAACGGAAAATTGTTGATTGCGAACGTCCAATTCGGAAGGCAGTAAATTTAAGTTCGTAGTTGTGAACAGTTCTAATTAAAATTTATCATCCGAATAACTTGCAACCGCACATGTGGGCAAGCATATTTGAACGTTGAGCAAAATGATAAATAAACCGAGATGAGGCAGATGTAATATGCACAAGTTTGGTGTAGTGGCAAAGTATTGAGGGTACGTGAACATTTTAAATACTCCTGAATATTTCAGTTGCAAGTCGCTGCGTTGGCTCGGCTAGCAATGTTATGTTTGTTTCATCTTTTTTCTCTCTGCGTTTGTTATTTGAGCAAGTCGACGGACAAATATGCAATAGGAACGCAAAACAACCAACGTAAGTTGAAGAAACAACCCTACGCTTCGCCATCCCCGCATCATGTACTGTATCTCGTTACTGTTTGCTACTCTCTGTTAAATAAATGACCGGATTTTCCTAGCAGCATTTCTCTATGTTTTGCCGCGTGTATTGCCTGAAGAATGTAAAATATTCCATAAAATGATGACTTAAAACATGAACAGTTCTTGTATGTCTGTACGTCATTTTGATGAAAAATGATCAGCGTAGAGATTAATGTCACGAACTTCAAGAACAATGCAAGACAAGAATTTCTCTTAGCAAGATTTCTTGTCAAGATATTAGCAAGAGTCAAGAATTCAAGTTTTTTTGTGTGATATATGCAAAATGTTTAGATTCTACTCTATACCAAAATACTTGTTCTACAATTTAGAGGAATCAGACAAAAATCAGGCCAAGTCGTAACACAACTCGCTAAGCTAAGCAAGGCAAGACGTTAACAAGTAAAACAGTAAATCTTGCTTTGTGCATCACTAGTACCAATCAATATAAACAAATATGTCCTTCTATAGAGGATTATAGAATAAATGGGCGATTTCAATGTTTAACAACTCAAGTCACATTAAATATACCAAACTAATCAGAACAATGCTATCTTCGATGTGTAATTGGATAATAATCTGAAGTAAAATACAGGCAGTAAATTGCCATCTAGTGGGTTTTTCCTGCTACTGATGTATTTGAAGTTTAGACAAAACCTTAGTAATCTAAGATATACCAACTTGTTTAACTGAATCGACGACCTTGTGTACATGATAACTCTTGAAATACATCAATACCAGTAAATAACCATTAAATAGTGATACACTGCCTGTATTTCGATTTTACCTACATTAACTCTTTAGAAGACAAAACACGAAAGATTGAAGGTTGAAATCAACCCCTTATGCAAACTGTCGTCGACTTTAGACAAGTGGACACTGAAGAAGTGAATCCATCGATAAAGAAGATTTAAAAACAGTAATTCAACTGCAAGTCATCATATCAACAAAAGGCTTCACAAAATAAAATGAAAATCAAGCCAAAAGTCCATCAGTTGACAACCGCACACATTTTGATTTGAAAATCCAAGCGATTATACCAACTTTTTAAACGTTAATTTCCGTTTGTTTACATTCAACTAATTTTATTAATTAAGATTCAAAACGAACATTGTTTTTCGATCGATTTGGTATTATTCAATGTAAGATAAGGTTAGGAATAATTTTAACCGCATTTGTCTTAATCCTACACTTCATTCGTAAAAATGATAAGGTAATAATATAATTATTGCTAAACTGTTACCGTCAAAGCATTCAGTCCTGCAAACAGTCATTTTTCTCATTTTCGGATTTGAAGGAAACAATCCCTACAAATTTTGATCTTTTAAATTTCACCCCCCCCCCTTCTTTCAAGACGTCATTTATTTAATAACAGAGTAGAGAAAAACTAAAGGAAATCTTCTAAATCGTTTAGCAACTAAAAAATGTATATACATATTAGCGTTGCTTATTTAATTAAACCGTTTTGTAAACGCCCCAAGACAGCATTGAGTGTAATACGCAGAAAGGTGGTTATTATTTCATTCGTTATTTCTCACTAATTTTGCATTCTAAAACCACGACCCTCGGAGGGGTTTTAATCACAATTTCAGTTGGAAAAGTTGGACATTTTCGCCCTTGCGAGGCTCAAATGAAAACACAATCGCTAGGGACGCACGAGTACAGAAATGGGTGACCACAAACCCTCTCCCTGTAGTTACTATATACCGCTTTTGAGCCCTAAAGGTTTCGGGGGATAAGATGTTTTAAATTAGTGCGATTTCCATTAGGCAAATCAATTTCGTAAAGAGAAATGTAAACTTTTTTCTTGTTTAAAATTTGAGTAACTTAATTTTCATTATTCGAGTTACATATATTAGAAAACCCTTTTGCAACGTTTACTCTCAAGGGAATTATGGACAAAAAGTATGCACGTACTAATCTGGCGTTTGCGATTTAATTATTGGCATTTAATGTTTTCGGACGAAAGTGTATCTTACACCTAATTTAATATTGGATACAATTAACCATCGACCTGAAATAACATTCAGGTGAAGTAACGCTTGTCATGTCGTAAAAAGTTGTAAAGAAAGTTGGAAACAATAAAAGTAACTTAATAAATCCAATTCTATAACTGATTTATCAGCTTACTTACGTAAACGTGTACGATTTTCTTCTAGAAGCCGTGGAAATTCCTCTCCGGATTAGTCATTCTGTCACTAGATAATTTTCGTTCTTTTTTCACGCGTGAATATTTTATATCAGTCCATAAACGTATCTACACTTTTTGTACTCGCTCGTAAATATCTAAATTATTAACGAAAAATCAAAGTATTTCCCAAATAAATTTACCGTATTTCGGTCATTTATTATAAAAAAGATCGCAGCAAAACGTGCTGCTCGGAAAACATATTGTGCGTCGACTGACCGACCTTTGGACCCGTATACTGATCGTTCTATACTTCGTTTCATCAAAACGTATTTTATTTATTCTGTTACCAACCCTACAATTTTTAAACAAATACCAACATTACCTAATTGTTTTAAATAATATATTTTAAGTAAAATTATCGGTCGCAAAACTACGTTAATGCAGAATTAGTAATTATTATTAATTAGATAAAGCGTAAAAACAAAACATGAACAAATGAAATTAAAAATATTTTTCTTTTGTTTCAGAACCATTGTCACGATTACACGCCGGAAAAATGTGGAATTTTACCGTCGTCGTCAACATCAATATCAAGTTCCCTAATTTCACTTAGTGCTATCACTTTCCTATCGTTCCTGTTCAGATGAACCACTTACGATTAGTAGCATGTATTTTCCTCTTTTCATTTAATAGAAAATTATTAAATTATTTACCGCAATTGTAATTTACATTCGACCTAATGAAATTGATGACAGGAAGATAAAACAATCGATTTGCTGAAACTGCTCATCGAAGGAACCGTCAAAGTTCTACTAATGATGTAACAAAAGGTGAAATAAAAATGTTAAGCAAACGTAAATTATTTTTAAATCGAATTGTGTTCATTCATTAATTTTATTATTACATCAAATAGTTTTTGTCTGTCGTATACATCTATTAGTGTTAGATTCATATTGTGGTCTCAGATTAGAAAAAATCTTTTACTGTTTGCATCAGAAAAAAGGGTGCGAACAGTGACTGATGAACCTCCCCCCCCGAGGACCCCTTACTGAAAAGACTGATGTAGGATATCAAAAAAACATATATAAAGGCGACGTATAGTATTAGTATTAATTATTATAAATATAATATGTGTATATTTAACCTAATCTCTTTCTAATCTGAGATTTTTTCTCTCTATTATGTATATTAACACTAGGCATCATCATCACTCACACTTGTCATTATTTATCGTTTTATTTATAAAATTTTGGTTGCTTTTCTAGCGTAATAATTTATGAATTTGTTTGTGTACACCCTTATGCAAACTGTCGTCGACTTTAGACAAGTGGACANAAAAATACAAAAAAAAAAAAAATAGGTTACCTACCTATTTATTGTTTAATTGTCTAATTGAAAGAAAAGCTGGTCTAGTCCCGCGTCAGTTGAAATCCTTCAAATAATGTTATTAAGATACCTAGTTCATAATCCTGGATAACAAAAAAATTTTTACTTTTGTATCATCACATCATCTCATTAGGCAGAGAATTTTTGCAATTTTATGAACAAAACTGCAAAGGCCTTTGTTTTTGTCAACTTATGATATTTTCATTCTTGAAAATGTTTTGTACTATTTGTTCATGCACCTATGAGATTCTAAATCATAGAATGTATTTTAATGGTACGATCCTGTTACGAAGCTAATCGTCCAAAATAATTATTATTGTAAATCCATAAATAAGAGGCAGGAACTCTGTTAGAAAAATAAAGTTTGTGTTTTAATAGTTGAAGTTTTATTTAAAAAAATTCCCATCTATTTCGAAATGGGTAGTACGTAAATAGGTCAAAAATCCAATCAATTTCGATAGAAAATTCTATCAAAGTGAACTGTTCATTTTCATATAAAGAAAACCCAACAGTAAAAAGCATGAAAAAAAATATTAATCAAATTTAACTGTGAAAAACATTAGCCTCAATATGGGCAGAAAATAACAAAATTAAATAAAAAATACGAATGTGCTATTGCACATGGCACATAGGAATTCTAAAAAAAATGATGACTGTCATTCCACTTCACTGTTATCGTATTAACAAAATTTTTATTGAAACTATAAAATCCCTTTAGTAAGGATGATTCACACGTCACCGTTTCGGGTCCGACGCGAATCTCGTATGATGCACGGACACAAATTGTACAAGCTTTTCTTAATGAAATAATTCACTCTACGTCGTGTCCTGCTCATGCATCGGACCCAAAATATGGATAGGCATTTTTTTGGTGGTCCCTAGGAAGGTTTTTCCCATGTTTTGATGTGGCCATTATCAATCATATTACAATTACGATATTTATTTCATCTACACACTCAGGTACACAAAAACTGGTTAGTATTTCATTAATTTCAACATCTATCGAATGATTCAACAGTTTTATACGGTTCCCATTACTACTTCTTACTATATTTTAGCGCGGTGTAGCATGAATGCAAAACTTGGTGGAGGCTTGGTATACTTCATTTACTTTCTCTAGCGATGTGCCCCTTCCAATGTCTTGAATGTGCGCTGGCAAAATCGTAGGTAGGGAGAAGAAAGCTCATTATACTCTCGACTCTTGTTCATTAAACATACTTTTTCATACAGTACCTGCCAAAAGTTTTGTTCAATCATGAGCAGTAGTACGAGTTGAAAACAAGCGTTAAAGCCTTTAATATGTCTTCAAATATAAATAAACATCTCGTTGATATTTTCGGTAGTAAATGGTACCAATAATAGCACATTTGAGCAATGCAATTATAGTGGATAAAATGGTCAATTTTTCCGTGCAGTACTGTACGGATTATACGCTCCTCACCGGTTAAGAGTTTGGTCGACAGTTGTCGCCTTTCTTTTCTGGCTTAGAGCTGTTCTTTTCTACTTTGCGCCGGTCAAACTGAAGGTCACATCGCTACAGAAACTAAACGGAGTATAGTACGGACGCGATACGGTTTGGCGTGAACTCGCCTTAAGGCGCAATTCGTTTTTAAATACACCGAAACGGTATTATTGTGAGAGATAAAAATTTTTCTTGCAAATGGGACTTAAAACCAGTAATTCTACTAAAAGCATTTTAACTGACATGCACTTAAATGACCACATGAAAATCACAAACAGACCATTGTATTGCCTATTAGTTTGCAGTTCCTGTGCATCAATAAAACAGATAACGTGCGTCATTATGAGTCTGATTTTTTATTTAATCTTCGCTTGTATTTTAACTTTTACTCTCGGTACTTTTGATATTCCGTCAATTGCGGACCAAGAGTCTTATCTAAATCAATGCGTGAACAAAATTAGTGTGAAATATTTTCAAAACAGCGGCCCAATATTGGTGGTGAATGCTAGTTTCGCAAAATTTCCTCTACAAACCATTTTGCAAACCAATCTGGATAACTTAAACAGTCCAATGTTTTATTATGGGGATGCTTGCATTCTGGATCACAGGGGACGGAAGATAAGAAATTTTTTGAAACACGCCGTTAAAACCATCCACTGGAAGCCGCAAGCCAAGTATCTCATCATATCTGACGAAAACTCGCAAAATATTTTCAAATATCTGTCTCCTCACTTCGTAATCGATGTCATTGTACTTTATCCAAAGTCATCGAGAATAGTTGAAATATACACTTACGATTTATTCGGACAAAACGGAAAAAAACTAAAACCTACACCGAAATTACTAGATCTATGTATTGAAGGAGTTTTCAAAGACAACGTCAATCTATTTCCGAATAAGTTGCCCAACAATTGGAGCGATATGACACTTAAAGCTGATGCCCTAACGTTTTTGGTGAACTTTTTCAAAAATGACAATTATATTATAAATATTATGGAAATTATTCGAACAAAAATGAAATACAAGATTCAGTATGTGGACTTAGCTTCAAACCAATCTTTGAACTATAACGCAAAATGGCTGGAAGGTTGTACAGTACATGTAGCCTTCATCGATACCATAAAATTTTTAGATCATGGGTATCCTTTTATGCAAGACCATTTAGTTTGGGCCATTCCTAAGGCAAATGAATTATCAAATTGGATGCGGATTAATAATATCATGGATATACCACAAATATTATCTCTTTCCCTTTTATTCTGCCTTGTCGCATGGGTTAAATTTTTATCAGACGTTGTTAACGAAACACAGCACGATTTCCCGAGTTCCTTATTATATCTGTACAGTTTCTTTGTCAACTCTTCAATGTGATCCAAAAGTCAAACAACCAGCGGAAAGTTTGTAGATTTGATTTGGGCTATATTTTGCTTGATATATACGACTGTTTTCATGACTTATTTAATTACTATAATAGCTACACGATCTTTCGAAACGCAACTGGACACTACAGAAGATCTTGTCAGAAGCAAATTGAAAATTGGTATTCGCATAGTATCCAACGATCTCGACTTATTTCAAGGAAATAATTTTGTAGATAATTATATCAGAAAAAACCATTACGATAGCAGCAATTTATTGCAGTGGATTAACTGGGTTAAATTTGAAAAAAATGTAACGTGTCTTTTTTCGGAGAACCTACTGAAGTCTAAATATAAAAATATCCCCTCTGAATTGATTCCAGTTCACTTTGGATCGGAGCCTGTTATATCGTCGTGGTTTAGCTATGCATTTTGCAAAGGTTTACCCCTTCAAACTGATATAAATCGTTACACTTTCTATCTCATGGATTCTGGAATAGTCAATTACTATAGGCAACGGTTTTTAGTTCACGTTAAAAAAGTATCAAAAAAACGAAGTGACACAAATGTTGTATTGACAGCGAAAGACCTACTTTACGCTACGAATATAATAATGGTAGGATTAAGCATTAGTTTAATGATATTTGTTTTTGAAATTTGTTACTACCATGGACTCAAGTTTTATGAGGAACGTGGACTATTTTTTTGGAGGATATACGACTTTAGAAACTGATTAATCTGAGGCCTTTAACGCCATTAATTTTACCAAGATGTTTGAGAACTCCATATTTTCAGCACTTTCAGTAATTTAACTATTTATAGTTAACTATCATTATAGATACAAGGGCATGTCTATCAAAACACTATGTTTTCTAAGTGATTGCTGCTTTGCAAAATAATTCAGATTTAGAGTACATATTGCAAGGGTTACAGAAAAAGTTTAGTGTTACCTTCAAAACGGACCCAATATTTTTTTAAAACATAATAAATGGTACAAAACTGCTATAGAAATTCTAAAATAGCATACTTTACACAAAACTTTTATTGAAACTATAAAAATCCTTCACGCTACACCGTTTCGATTTCGACGAGAATCTCGGACACAAATGATACAAGCCTTTCTCTATGAAATAATTCATGCTACGGCATGTCCTGGTCATAGGGACGCTAATTACTAAAAATGATTGATTCCAAGTGTGGAATGAATTCATCATAACTATTTTTGATGTCGTATTCCGCTGGTATCACGATTTTTCCCTTTTCTCGTTCAAATAGTGCACGATTCCATGCTTTATTGTGGAAACGTTCGATTTTATAAAGGATCTAATACACTCTATATTAGCGTGTCTCAAATTGTTAAGTAGAAACACCTTTACTAACACAAAATGACATATTATATAAATATGTATGTACTACTTGTAGTCTATTTAGAATTGTGTGTTAATATGTATACAATAACTGCACAGGAATAAATAAATAACCAGCTGATTACCTCATCTAATTCATTTTATCCCTAAACACCATCAATCATATTATATTTTATTTAGAGTAAAACGAAAGTTGAAAGTATTACGAAATTAAAAAATGATAATCAGAAAAATAAATTTCTTACCTTTCTCGAAGTGAAGATGACCCACTTCTTTGGTCAGACACAGCAGTCCTTGATCATGATGAAGTCGGTATTAGAATCGGCATTGTAAGTATAATCCTATCACCTATTAATTGTGATATAGCTGTAACAACAGTAGAAAATATAATGATACAAAATTTAGTTTTAGCTAACTATCGGGTTGTTCGGAAAGTCATTTCGTTTTTTTTTGTGGAAATGAAAGACAGTTTTCGTATAATAAACAAATACTTTATTAAATTATATATTGACCGTCCTGGTCCAACACCTTTTGCCATCTTTCTGGTAGTAGCATAATTCCACGCTCATAAAATTTTTGGTCTTTGCTGGCAAAAAACTGATCTAGGAGGTTTTTGACTTCCTCATTTGAGGTGAAGGTTTTACCGTCTTTACCGTTCACATCAACTAATACCTTTATCGCGTCTTTATCAGCTTCAACCGGCGTTCCCGAACGTGGTGCATCTTCGACGTCAAAATTGCCGGATCGAAATTTAGCGAACCAGTTCTGGCACTGGCGTACTGTCAACACACCTTCTCCATACACATCAGTCAATTTCTTTCTGGCTTGAACAGCATTTTTACCCTTTCTGTAGTAAAACAGTAAGATATGTCGAAAATGCTGCTTATCGCTCTCCATATTTAAAAGGGCACCAACC